GCAATTATGGCAAATTTGACTAAAAAGCTAACTAAAATTACATCAGAACGTGTTTTTTTCTAATTCCTTAAGATAAAAACAATCAAACATTATTCTTTATATTAATGCCATTTATATACTTYAAAAGGAGTAAGTGCATTTTGGAACACATCATTTTGGGTTTGTGAAGTTTGCATATAATCATCAGTTTAYCTTCTTTCTCTTTGTTTATATGAATGAACATCAGTCAAGGGTTGGTTGGTTAATTTTAATGGTTTTAAAAACTTTGACCTACAAAATGTTGTAATGTCATAATTATAGTTTCTCCTGTGGCTGAGAACTATTTCAGCAGACAGTGATAACTGCACCATGCTACAACAAAAACAGCTTAGAATATATTTGTAAAATGTCTCTAAAATTTGCATTTGAAAAGTTTTGTTTAAAGGCACAGTGTGTAGGATTTTGTCAATTCTTTTAGCCAAAATTGAGATAATCAACAATGACAATAATAAAAAACATGTCTAATCATTGCAGACAAAGACCTTGTTTTATTATTTTTACCTTATAAAAAGCTGTTTATATCTCCATGGTCGTGGGTCGCCACTACAGGCAGCCGCCATCTTGCACCGCCATCTTGTCTACGAAGGCTCATGAAGGACAAACTGCGGTGGCGGCGTCAAAAACGGTTTTAGTTGTAATACTATAAATGTAATATTTGTTGTCTGTCATTGTAGCTGGGATAATTTTACTTATTAAAGCTCATAATCTTACCACTTGAAACATCACTAGCCCTGAAGCTGCTGGTAGACATCGCGGTTGGAATTATCAAAGGTTTTTGACACCTGAGAGACACCGTAGCAACTGCTTTGCGTTTAGAAGCGGGGGTGGGGGTGGGGGGAGGACCAGGGAGGATGATTCAACCACTAGATGTCGCTGAAAACAACAAATCCTACACACTGTGCCTTTAAAATGTGAAAAACAGCAAGGACTTAAAACACATCACCGCCTTTTAAATGAGACATATCCTGCTTTTAAATAATTCTTATTCACATTTAAATCATTCAGTTGGGCTCTGTATAAAGTGGAACTGCAATGTTTTGGTCTGATTTTCTCCTTATTGTAACTCCACAAGCCCCTCTTTCACATCTTTTCTGAGGTGCCAGATCAACTCGTTTTGAGGCTGTCATGACACTTCACATCCAGCCCCCCCTCCAGTTTCCAGAGTGGTCTATTCTAGTTTGATAGAGGGGTTTATGACTATATATTTTACAAATTAAGTGAAAGATGTCAATATGGGAAGACTTGTCCATCCAGCCTTACATGTTGGAGCCAGAGTCTGAGCCAGAGGGGAATGAAGACCACTATATTGTAGTTGGTAAGCCCAGACCTTATTTGGCAGTTCCGTTGCAAATAATTTGACATAATAGTTCAAAAAATCTCTTAGAAAACAGAAAAAAAACCTGAATGGGTTGAAAAACATGACCCAAACAGAAAATAAAGGTGTCTATGCAGCACCAGGGGTCAGATTTATAAAATTGGCGTATGCACAATTTGAGCCCAGAAACTTGTGTGCGCCACTTTTCACGCCAAGGTTGTGATTTATAAAATCCAAATTTGACGTGAAAATGTGCGATGCCTCACGCCAGCTCTGACCCATGCGTACGCTCATTTTGGAGACAGAAAACTGCGACACAGATGRTGAAGTGAGGAATTAGAGCCACACTGTGTCATGATCACTGTCAGATATTTAATTTACCTTCATAATCAGACTTAGATTTTTATTCAACTTTATCTTCAGCTTTTTTAACAGTAATATTTACGCTTCTGCTGCTGAGCCATGAGGACCTTTGAAATAAAAAATACTTAAATCTTAAATAAAAGTTCCCATGTGCAAATCTCTTCATCTGCTTCCTCCTCAGACGACCCTGAAACACAGACCCCTCCCTGACCCACAGACCCCCTCCCTGACCCACAGACCCCTCCCCGACCCACAGACCCCTCCCCGACAAAAACAGCAGGACAGCAAAAGTCACGCCTTGGATACATGCGCAGGGCGCATCCACCTCGCCAGTGTGAATGTTATAAACCTTCACGTTTAAAGTCCATGTTTGTCACGGGTGTTTGTGTGTATGTGTGTGTGTGTGTGTGTGTGTGTGTGT